GTCGCAAGACAAGCCGGAAGTAAATCGGGTGAATAGTGACAGGGAATGCTTTTGTTGGAGTTCAGTGGAATTGCTTATGACTGGAGGTCTGTCCGTCGTGATGGTCTTGTGGGGTCTTGGGATGGTCTCAAGATGTCTGGACTACCACACTGACAATTAGACGAATTCTGCTTGAGTCCTAGGCCCACTCATCGCCCAGTATGGGTGCGTGAGAAAGATGGCAGATTGTTCAAAATGTCTCGAACTAGAGAACCAAGCTTATTTCCTGGCCCAAATTCTTCCCTACTCTGGAAAACCTGAATACTTGCACCACAGTCCGCCCTGCTTTTCGTGTTAAATTTCTACTTGAGACCCACAGTGTAGTCACAAGCAAATCACTAACTAGTCCGGGACCTAAAAGTTTTTGTTTTTTGTTATGCATAGGAAGTCATTGATTGAAGATTCCTGTTTTTTTCGGTTCGTAAATTTGAATCTACTTTCATTTCCTCTTTCCAAATGAAAAAGGCAAATGATAATCATAGTAAACCAAAAAGTTAATTTTTCACATTTCCCTGAAAGTATGATTTTTATCTTTTGTGAAAAAAAAGTATTAATGTGTCATTCAAATAATTGTAGGTTCAAAGACTGAAACGTTCTCTGTATGAAACTTCATAACCAAAAGTTACCAGGTATGTTGCTTTTATATAAAAGTACAAGTAATAATGTTGAAAAGATCAATAATTGTGGTCATAGCAATTCCATCATATTCCTTCTTTCTGAAAAGGTTTATCAACTTAACGTTATCCCTGTATTTGATATTATTATGCCTTATGGTGGTATCTTTTAAAACACGTCGCTTGGCTTTGCTGTCATTCGTTTTACCTCGAGATTTGATGTACCAGCTTCAAATATCCCTCAGTTCTGCCCAAAATGCTGATGTCTGTCAGGAAGCCAATGCTCTTTTTTTCAGTCTCTGCTAAACTTTTACTGCCCCAGGTAATCCCTGGTAAAGAACGTCTCTATTTCCTTTAAGTGGTCTGTTAAACTAATACGTGCACATTCACACGTAGAGCTTGAAATTAATATCGGTGTTTGGAAAAAAAGAAACAATACGTAAAAAAAACGGACTGTGCTTTAGGGAAACCGTGTATATAACACATAACATGAACCGTGCAAAAGGTTAAGACTATATTTTATACCTCTTATGAAACTGCATGCTTCATATTTTTAAAATCGTGTACTCCATATTCAGTCAAGTTTCTTGCTTATTTACAGTTGCGGTTGGTCATCAATTGGGTGCAAAGGTAAACTAAAAAGGAATGTTTCAAACGGCCAAGTACCTTCCGAAGCATTGTAAACTCTCAAATTAGTGTAGAAATCTCCTAGATGGTTTGGGTTGGCAAGGCGCAATCGACGATGGGCACATGTTTTGGCAGGGTTGAAGCCTGTGTTATTTTAATTTTTACCACGTGATCGTAACATATGTAAAGAAAAACTGCATACAATGCATGTCCCTTCTGCCTTGTGTAATAAATGTAATTTTTTGTACAATTAAAAGGGTGGACATTTTGTGTTCTATGCCGATTACAAAATGCGTAATGAAAGACAGTCATTTTGGCACCTGTCAAGCAAAGTGATTTGAGGAATTTCAGGCCGAAATTGGTTTGTACGTAGCCCCAGACTTCGGTCAGTCTCGACCCCCCCCGTATATCCTTGGAGGCCAGGAAAGCCCTCGTCTGCATGGGGCGTAGCCTGTATCCAAATCTGTTGTCTGTAGAGCTAGGTGTAGGTCTTCACTCAATTGAAAATACGCGAAGACGAGGCGCACAGCCGTAGCACTGGAAGCCCGTTTTGGACACTTAAAAGTTGCACCCGAGAGGTATTAAATCAATCATGTCATTAACTGACTCACTGAAAAGGTGAAATGATGAATGTAATCTATCTTTGTTAACAACCCTTGAAAATTCGACAACAGTGGATATCCAAGCAGTGGGCGACAATTTTGCCGCTGCCACCTTTTCTCCCCTTCGGCCTGATGCCCTGACAGCGGTTGACTGGAGTCGTTTGCACTTCAATTTCACTGCACATGCGCTAAGTACGTCACGAATCAACCACTAGTTAATTAGTGGTCCCTGATCGAACTTGTCCATAAAGGCTCGTGGAAAACCGCTCAAAGTGAAGGATAACTGGTCGTGCATGTGCTTGTATAGGTGATACTGAAGGGCGTACATCAACAATTCCGAAAAGCCTCAGTTTCAGACGTCGCCTTGTTCATGTTTTTCTGCCTCTGCACATATCACCACGTAGTGGTTAAAAGGCACGGGACAGTGTGGCGGTGAGGTATGTTTTCGTGTTATAAATGTTGACCAACACCTCCAAATTGATTCCATCCAGTCTCTTTGAGTGATTCGATATCATATTGTTAAAGCTCTAAAGTCTGGAGGAAGGGCGTTCCATTCACGAGTTGTCGGGGGGGGCGTTTAAAGTAAACACCAGTAACGATTCTTGTCCAAGTATGAGGCTCAGTTTTCAACTTGGTGAAGTCTGCAATGTTCTGAAGACAGTCAGGTACGGTACTATGCTAGACGTACAAATTTTTTTTTTTAAATAAAAAAGTTATACGGTTGAGACATCTCATAATCCTATTATTTTCAGCCTGGACAGTTATGCTGCGATCTACTCCGCGACCATTCATCCTCTTTTGTAGGCGTTTTCACACTGGACAAATCTCGGGTTTGATCAGGATCGATGCAGGGTAAAACTGGCGACGATTGACACTTGAAAATGTCCAACTGGGTGGAGACTTTTCAACCCGGGTTGAAAATTGCTTGAGCCCGTTAACTTTCCCTGATGAGAACGGTTTGACTTACTAGAGACTAAAGACTTACTAGTGTGACACAACGCCAGGTTGAACGCGGGGTTCGAAAATCCAATTTACAACTCAGGGCAGTCATGGGTTCGCTGAAGCTTGAGTTCAACCTGGGTTGTGAGAATAGTTTGAAAAGGCCATTTCTGTATATGTTCTTTTTTACGAATAAAAATTGGGGGGAAAAATGAAAGAATTTTAACAATAAAAGACATCAGTACACGTGCCCAATAAATTATTATCATTACGAACTATACATGCAAAAAAAAACCAAAATTAAGTGCGTTTGTTGTGCCTGACCTCCAGTAAGTGAAACTCCAGCAGAGGCGGCAGTGCAGCTGTCAAAGTGAGTACAATACACCTTTATAAATAGGGATAAATGGGCGAAAATTAAAGGATTACAAATTATGTGGAAAATCACAGAATGGATAATCACAAAATTGTACCCTTTACTGGATCACGTGGGACCTTCCCACATCACTTTTTTTTCCAATAAAGATTTTGAACTTAAATGCTTGCATTTCATTAAATAAACTGGAAAACTTCATTTCACACAGTAAAGATGATTGAGGCCAAAAGAAAGGATTAGGATACTTTAAAACGTGCGTGTGAAGAAAAAAATGCATTGATGCATTACTGTTAAAAAGAAAGGAAGAGCATAGCATACATCATTGGCGTGACTCCGAGGGGACAAAACAAAATTCAAGCGGGGGCGCACGAGGGCGGCGTGGGTGTTATTCGGCCAATTTATTTGCTTTGACCAAGGACCTATATTAAAGGCTCTTTACAGACCAATTAAGGGAAGTGGGCATCTAAATTGAAAACAAACTTTTATTTTGTAAATGAAGAAAAGTACATGAAATTCCAATGAATTTCTGGCTTCGCCACATAAATTGTATGCCACAGGCAATAAAATCTACGGTTATTTTTTACGGGGAATTAAGAGCCTCCATCTCTAGTTCATGACTGCACCTGACTGACTTACAAAGGTGGCCCATTTCAAGGAAACTGTGTGGTCACGTGTGACTTCAGCGTCTTTTGATTGGGCCCCATATGCACAAACCCTATTTTTACCTCTATTTTTCACTGTAATTTTCCGACTGATTTATGCGGCATAATTCTTTTCAACTTTTATAAACGGAGGGCTTACATACCATTGTCACTCAAAACAACGCCCGGAAGTGTTGTAAAGTGCAGCAAATTGGCCAATGCAAATCCTAGTAAACCTTATAATTTCTCGAACCACCACTAAAAAGGTGAGGGCGAAAAAGTTTCCGAGCCTCTTTACTGTACTAAGACTAAAATGCAGGGCAAGAACACTAGCGTAATGGAACCTGAAGCTGGAAACGCCACAAGCCTGAATGAATGTTTAAAATGGGAATAATTGGAGGAGAAGATCATTAACATTGAAAGAAAGATAACTGTGTGAACAAAAACGGGGAAAGATTTTGTTAAAAGATAAAAATAATGGGCCTAACTTTAAATTAAATAATAGGAATGGAAGTGTCTTTGACTGATAAGGATATACCACAGAGTTCGCTAAGATGAAGGGCATCCGTTAAAACTCGCCAGGCTTACTTCCATGGAACAAACAATTTTAAGGAGCCTCTCTCGGCCATGACACCAGGCAACCTTCTGCAACTCTTGAAGTAGCCACTGTTCTTCGCCACTTTAAACTGAGGGGGTGGAGCCAATGTGAAGGGTACAACTTTACAGAAAAGCTGGGGGTCCAAGGGCGGGTATTGTGTAGCTTGCAAATTACCATATTTTCTCCAAGCATGGTAGGCGTTGTACATGCTGTTATTGGAGTGAAGGAGTTGGAGATACGCTGCCAGGGCTTTAGCTGAGTTGAAATCGCCGACGTGAATAAAGGACTTTGGAGGTAGAAGTCGTTGGTACGCTTCTTTCCTGCCTCCGTAAACTACTGGCACTGTGCCTGCGTTGAGAGCGTTATCCCAAAGTTTCTCAGTGATATATTCATCACACTCAGAATTTTCGAGTGCAAGATAGAACTTGTACTGTGCCAAGACACGCTTACAATTCCTCGCAAAGGCATCAAAGATGGGTAAGCATTTTGCCGTTCCACACTTACCATACACATCCACGGGGACGTGCCTCTTCAACTCGTTCACAAACTCGAGGCGAGGCCAGTGAGTGTTTTTACAATTGCTTGCCATCCAGGCTACCAGGCCAGTCTTATTGGCCGACCAGTCCCGCTTAGATGACGTCACTTGGTCAAGAAGGTTGGGAGAGTATTTGCCGTAAGGAAGTTCAATGTCTGCTTCAGAGTGGTACGTGATGGAGTGATGATACTCAATCTCGCTAATTGATCGGTCCCAGTATGTCATCCTCTGGGGGCTCTCTACGCCGTAGAAAACCCAATGAATCTTGGGATTCAAGGCTCGTCTGGAGAAGGACAGGATATGAGAATTGTATTGTTTTTAATCTCTTTCCACGGAAAGATAAAAGAAACAGAAAACACAAATTATTAGTTGCAGATATATCTCAACAAAATGTCAAAAGATAAAGCTACACAAGGTGTGATGAATGAAAAAAAAAATATAAATTCTTTTGATCTCGCCGAACTCATTACGGCGTGATGTGAATTGTTCTATAAGTTATAACGAACCTTAGATGGGGGAGGAGTTTCGGATGTTTGCGTTTCATATGTTGTGGATTCATGTTAACAATGATGGCATCAGAAGCATTGAGATATCTTGCTTCTACTGTGACAAGGACGTGAACATTGCATCGCTGCCTCGGACATTCCAAGTGAAGACTTCTCAGTTTCTTCCCCCTCCCAAATGGGGTTGAGTGACGTTTGAACTGGTCCACGAATTGTTTGTACTCCCTCCATAAAAGGCCGGGCAGCAAAGACGGCACCAGAATCGCGACAGTCGTGTTACACTTGGGCGTCACATTAAGACTCCCGCGACTATTATGTCCAAATTCTGAACTGTTGCCCAGCTGGTATGAGATTTCGTGCTGAATAACTGAGGTTCCACGATCTTCTTGCCTCTCTGACTCGTTTCTGGCACGCTGTGCGAGAAATCCCCTTCGGGGAGAGATGGCCGGCACATATCTTAAGGCGTTGCTGACGATCAGCCATGTTGGAATTAATGCTGTTGCCAAGAACACTGGGATATAATACAGTCTCAGACGGGTACGAACCATTTCTTCGCATGCGCTCTCTCCTCCAAGTTTGTTCCAATGGGCAACACTTTGAATGGGTAAAGCGTACGTGGGCTACAGGAGGGCACCCTTCTCCTTGCACTCGTAGTTAGATTGGAAATGCAGCCGGGTGGTACCAAACGACGACTAGGCCTACTTAGACCGTACCAGTATTGTATTGCCGAAGTCTTCAATAGCTGTGGCCTTGATAACCCTTCTGTTGTGAATCTCCCCACAGCCATGCATTTGTATTTTCCTATTGAATAAACCAGGGAGCACATTAGGGGCTAGGGGTACGTTTTCCATATGCTGATTAGACGTAACGCATGATGAGAGCAGAAGACGTGCAGTGGAAGGCACGCAGGAGAAGCCTTTGACGGTGTTCACCACAGCCCCAACCGGGATGAGCTTAGTTTGTCCAGAGGAGGGAACAAGTCTTAAAGAAACTCACCGGTCACCAGCAGGTAATAAAGGGAAGTTAAAGGGGCAACCCTGGTAGAGACACGGTACAGCACTAAGGGTCACTAAAGCATTTCTCGTTATAAGCAGAGTCTTGTATTAGCAGTGCTCTTATTAACGAGGTTAGACGGTATTTATGATGTTTATTGTTGGAGCAGCGACGGTAGGTGCAATAGGAAATAATTTCCATTTGGGTTTGCGAATTAGGAAATAATTAATTTTCTTTGCTCACTGAATCTGTCCCTTTGATCAGTCTGCCCATAAGATCACTCCTGTTTATAAGAGTGACAGCAACTTTTGAAGTAGCCACTGCTCTTCTCCATTTTAAACTGAGGGGCGAAGCCAATGTGAAGGGTACAACTTTACAGAAAAGCAGGGGGTCCAAGGGCGGGTATTGCGTGGCTTGCAAATTTCCATATTTTCTCCAAGCGTGGTAGGCGTTGTACAAGTGTCGGAATGTAGGAGTTGGAGATACACTGCCAGGGCTTCAGTCGAGTTAAAATCGCTGAGTAAAGGACTTTGGAGGTAGAAGTCGTTGGTATGCTTCCTTCCTGCCTCCGTAAACTACTGGCACGGCTCCCGCGTTATCCCAAACATTCTCTGCGATATATTCATCACATTCGGAATTCTCGAGTGCAAGATAGAACTTGTACCGTGCCAAGACACGCGTACAATTCCTCGCACAGGCATCAAAGATGGGTAAGCATTGTGCGGTTCCACACTTACCATACACATCCACGGGGACGTGCCAAATTTGAGAACATGTAATAGACCTTGAAATTATTGACAGCAATTCAATAGGTGGAAGTGAAAAACCAGCCAGTTGCACTAGTATGTTAAACTTAGCGAAACCCTCGAGGAAATTAGAGGACAAATATACCTTGGTGTAGTTAATTAAAACCCTCCGAGACAATTGTCATTTTTTTTTAACTCATAACGTGGTGATTTTCTATCCCTATCCCGTTTTTTTGAACACAGATTTTGTTCGAAATGGTTTTGAAATCATTCGAGGATGTCCTCTGCACCCTGTAACCATTAAATCCGCAGAGAAATCACAGGAAAAGGTAGATCTCTCTTTCAGTAACAAGACACATGAAATAGCCTTAGGCTTATACCCTACTATCTTGCCAAGGCATGTCTAGAATTACCCACTGCAGGCACGTGCCTAGAAGGCTACAAAGCTTCAAAGACGCCCTGCAGCCTTTACAGGGTCGTTTATGGGTCACGGGCCGGGCCTGGGCAAGCCAGGCAGCCGTTGATGTAAGCCGGTGATGTCTGCCCTCCGGCAGATGTTTGTAACGAACCCCAAAACATTTTTTTAGACTTAAAAACTGACAAGAGTTTCAAAATAAAGACAATGTATCATAAAACGAATCAAGACACTACAAAAGGAATGACTTTCATTTGTGCTTTTTATTATTTTCTGAGGGTAACTAGAAAGTAAACTGATGCCTCTTCAGTTTTATATTGCCATTATTGATAAGCAAAACCGTGCTTTTGTTCCACTATAAAAGCTTCGAAGTTGCATTTATTTGTGCACAAAAACTGCTAGAAATTGTTACATTTTATCGGTAAAAATTTACTGGTTTGATGTTTCGTGGTGTAAGTATACTTGGCAATAAGCCACAATCCTCCTCTTTTCCGAAATGTTTTCAATCAGTAAATTTGGGGTTCACAATAGACCGATTGCGCCTGCTAAATCACGTGACATATGGTGGGTATCAACCCCATCACAACGTGTGTTTTGAGGGTTGTTTACAAACTATACAGCCAGGTTACGGTTTAGTACCCAGTACATCCGTAGTCTGAATACGGTGCCTACCGTCCGCGTTATCTTTGGTAAATGATACTTCCAAACTCTTTGCTTTTGGTGGACGTCGTGTTTGTAGATATCTAATACCTACTATAAGTCACTTGACTTATCGGGCGCAATCGGTTTATTGGAACAAAACGGTGTCTTCTGACTTGATGGTGACAGCGCCCTCAGTTGACTTCCATTGCAATAAAGCCGAAAACGAAAAATCAATTTTTCACTCATTGAAGAGGAGCACAAAGTTGGATAAAAGGTACATATCAGAGAACAAGTCATCGCTCGGACCTTTAACATTGTTACATGATGAACGTATATGTAAGTCTTCGGCAGCCTAGATGACCTCGGTTGAAGGTCAAGGCATATTTGAACACCCTACGTTAGCCGACGCGTGGTTTCGGAGCGGCAGTTTCCTGCCATTTACATATATTTCCCACGCTGGAACTGTCCCCGTCATAACCCTGTCAACCTCCGGACAATTCGGTCCTGCTCCGCTCTGTCCACTGGCTCGTAGTTGGAGAATTCAAGGGAGAAAGTTGCCGTGCCCGAGGTAAGACTTCTGAGCGATGTGGAATACCCCTACAAAACATGCACAAGAAACACGCGTCTGTTCTGTGGATTCTTAACCAAATTTTAGGGGGGGAGTGTTTTTTTGGGGGGGGTTATACATTTCTTTATGCAATCTTCTTTCCCATGGGTACATATACTCCATGGCTTTAGGAAGGAAATGAAATAGTCCCTAACAATCATCTTTCTCTAATTTACATTTCTAAAAAAGGAAAGAAAAGAAAACATGTTCCCCAATACTAGACCAAGATTTGTTCGGGCAATGCCTAAAATACACTGGTGACGGATGGAATGTTCCATTCCTTCGGTCACCGCCAGAGATTATCCTTCCTGCTGCACAGATCACACACATAAACATCCACCGTACACAAACGAACACTGAGAATGAACTATTACAATGGAAGATTTTGGGTACTATTCACAAAGAATCAGCTTGTGATGATGGTCACATTGTAGCTCTACTGAGTGGAGCACCAATGCTCCACGCTCCACTCAGCATTGCTAAGATTAAGGCTACATCCGAATCTCTTGTCTAGAGCTAGGTCTAGGTCTTCACTCCATTGGAAATGCGTGGAGACGCGTAGACTATACACCTAGCTGTAGCTCTGGAAGCCCGTTTCGGACACGGCCTAATGTACTTGTGAAGTACCAGCACTTAAAGTAGTTGTAGAGATTATGTGAGGCACTTTTGAGGGATGGGTGCACTTGTGAAGAAGTAGTTGTGAAGTACTTCTAAGCACTTTGAAGTACTTGTTTTACATATACATGTACTTGTGAAGTATTATAAGTACTTGTGAGGTACTTTTGAAGTACTCGAAATATGTGTGTAAGTACTTGTGAAGTATATGTACTTGTCAACAACGCTGCTGAAGGCTCCACATCCAGGAGGTATTTTCCTTTCAACAACTTGTACTCAATATTATGTTTGGCAAAACTTCCAACTTCCAAAAACAGTACTTTCTTACGCACGGCCAAATACCACAAATTAATGATTTACAAGAATCAATAATTGAACGGTCTATGTACATTTCGTACCTCAACATCCCTTTTTTCAACACTCTGGGGGGGTTATGCCAGCGAAACGATAATTGCCACCACGACGCAGCGGTCAAGTAGGCACATTTAAATGTCAGCCGGAGGTGAATTTTTAAAAGCCGCGCACAGCAGTTCCACCTGTCTGCTGTGACAGGTTACACAGATAGCTACACCCACTCATTGCTAATAAGGTCAAAGTCAGGCTCTTTTGGGTACCAGATTTTCCTGACTCGTCCTACGGTTGCATTATCTACATGTATATCCATTCAAGCAATTCGCAACATCGTGGCTGGCAGACTGGCAGTTGGGCATTTTTTTTCCTGTGCCACATGTTAAACTCTCAACCAAGTTTCTTGCTTGGTGTTCCCTTCACAAATCCCAAATTGTGAAATAGAGGCAAACGCCAACATCTTGATGACACATTGACAACAGATGACAAACTGCACGAATAACAGTCATGGGCTTTGATTTACTGGTCTTCGGCTTTTTTTTGTGATACTTAATTTCAGGAACTCTGCACAACTTTGTATGAATTTGCGTGTGCTATTCATAGGAATTCATGTGCATATCTCGATATACCCATAGAAAATATGTGGTGTGGAAAAACATGGCAGTTCATGGCCCGTTTCATTCCGCTGACATGGCTTGATTTTCACTGACTGAGTTTGTACACCTTTGCCAGTGATTAAAACAGGAACATGTGGTTTCATTCTGTGACAAACACAATTACATGTACACCTATCACAATGGCTTGCCAATTCTGAAAAATCTGCAGGTGTGTAGAGAAAATATATGCCCGTTTCACAAGTTGTTTATCCGACCAATACAAACTGTCCATTACTGGTGCTGGAGATAAGGGACAGTTGCAAATCCAGGTGTGGACATGACAAAAACCCAAATACAAGCTCTGTTTTGAGGTGTTCTGTTAAGAATTGAATCACTGCCTGAAATGAAATACCACACCTTCACACTATAATATCACATTGTTCTTACCATCATTTCTGAAAGCGGTGTCCTGGCAACCAGCACCCTGCTGTCATCTCGAGTCTCTATGGCGATGACTTGACCCCTCCTAGAGTTGAGGTCACCCAGCACGTCACCAAGCCTAGCCTCGCTGGTTACGATCTGCATGAAGGTCAAATGTGAAAGGCAAGAGTTCACAAAAACCTTCCACGCAGCAAAATATTCCCTTAATAATAACTAGTTCCCTTAATTGCCTGAGGCAGTTAAGACACTGTAATTGGTTGGAAGTGATCACATGGGTTTCTTGGGCCTGTATTTATAAGCAATTAGGTCGTAATTGGTACAAAAAGTAATCCTTGTTGCATGCATATTCAGAAGTAGAACATTGTTTAGAAACAGGAAAGTGTTAGATTGAGATTTTGAAACAAATCATACAGGGAAACTGACTAGGTGCTTATGAATGATTATAAAGATTGAGAATTTGATTGGAAAAGAATTGGAAAGAAAAATGATGTGAACTTCTTTTTCTGATTCGCATGCCATTGCAAACTTTAGGCTGTTATTCTGTGAATGAGTAACAACGTATTTGACATGTGAATTATATGATTATCTGAAGTGCTATAGGGAATATTAAGCGAGATAAGGCTAAATAACTGCTCACCTCCAAGCTCATCATTGGTTCCAGAATCTGACAGCTCGCGTTGTTGAGGGCGCTGTGCAGGCACTGGGAAGCGCAGGCAGCGATCATTGCAGGGGCTGTGCCTAGACTCGTTTCCACGCTCTCCAAGCTAACATGGATGTCTAGGACAGGGAACCCAATCAGAGGACCTTGCCAGACCAAACAAATAAAAAGTAACAATCAAAAAAGTGTATACGTCAATTCATGTCTTAACCTAGAGTGCCACAAACAGGTTTGGATATACCATTTTTTAAACGATGGTGCACAGTGAAACAAAACTGGAGGAATTCAAACAATTTATCATTTGAAAGCATTTTGCTCTCACTATACGGCACACACAAAGATATAGACATCCAGCACACAACTTTGACCAAGGTAACCCTCTCTTCCAGGATTCTGTTTTGGGGGACACCTTGTACGTAGGAATGTGCAGACCAGTTCGTTGCATGATTGGTTGTGTCTGTGCCTTATCAGGGTTGGCCTCGTCCACTGCCATGGCCTGGCTGTTTTTTGTGTTGAATACTACATTTACAAAACATATTATCAACCAGGTGTTCACATACATGTACACAGAATCTCAGACCCAAGAACTTTATTCCATCCATGCTGTCAACAAATGCAAACTACAGTTCCTGTACAGTGCTATCCTTGCTAAGTACAGTATAGGATTTGGATGAAGCAGGAGTTTGGTTGCCGATTTCAGATAGCCCAGTAAGTCAGAAAAAGCCTTGGCTTTGGGCACGGGGCACCTGTGAATGGCTTCACCTTGTTGGCATGCCGACATCACCCCATTTCTGACGGCTTCCACCACGTCAGTCCCACAATGCTCCATACTTATGTCACTCGACAGGTCAAATGTTATCGGTTCACTGGACTCCTCTTTAGGTTGCACAGATAGCTTGATGGTTGCTAGGTGATGCTGATTACCGATGATGCGGTCTAGAGTTGCTGGACACGGGACAAAAAAAACATGCTAATTTACTTCTTGCCAGCAAATGAGCCACTGGGGGGATTACAGTAGTTGCACTAAGGTGTTGAGGTGAGGGAGCAAATGTTGAGAGGGTAAGCCTCGGAGGAGTAGAACAGTCTAGTTTGCTTACATTGGGTCCAAAAAGCAACATGGTGAGTGGTTTGATGTCATATTACAACTCAGCTGACGGATAGATTAAGGTAAGTTTTCAGCGTGAACTTGACCTTTACTAAAGAGAGGGCTTAAGGCAACACTGCTCCGGAGGACGACCGGCGCAGATTGGTTGAAACATTGAGTACACACTGACCGGTTCTTATAAAAACCATACCTCTTCCAAAAGAGATCTATCCACATGGTGTTACCCCTTTAGTCTATCTCCACCATGCAAAGCTTCAAGTTTTATCAAACTTGACCTTGTTTGATCATTTGACTGACCACTTCTCAGTTGTGTTTAAACAATGCCTGTGCACAATGAAGCCACACTTGAACATCCCTAGTCACGCTATTTTAAAGTCTTGTCACTACTAACATTTTACCACTGACTGCAACCCTCGCATCGAATGTGGTCACAGACATCTTTATTATTTTCAATTAAATGGTTCCCTCCGAACTGATAAATGAAATCAGCTGTTGATAACCAGGTGTTGTGACCATGCCCCAGGGCCTGGTTCTAGATGGTCGACAAGATGATCTATCATTCAGGCGATGCTGGTCAAACTACTGGCAACAACAGTCTTCCCTCCAACTTGCCCTTACTTTGTTGGGTTGTTGTCCGAGTTATTCTCTCTCGGTAAGAGATCTGCAGTGGTCCTACTTGGGCCTCAATCTTATACTCCTTCTGGATCCGGTCGAGAATGATCTCCAAGTGCAGCTCTCCCATGCCCGAAAGGATCGTCTGCAAACAAAATGACACAAATACACTTATACTCACCTTTGTGGCCTTAGGTAAGCCGCTTCATCCTTACCTTGCCTCTCTCCACCCAGGAGTAGAAATGGGTACAGACATTAGCTCTCCACCCAGGAGTACAAATGGGTACCAACATTAGCTCTCCACCCAGGAGTACAAATGGGTACCAACATTAGCTCTCCACCCAGGAGTACAAATTGGTACAACATCAGTTCTTCACCCAGGAGTTCAAATGGGTACAGACATTAGCTCTCCACCCAGGAGTACAAATGGGTACAGACATTAGCTCTCCACCCAGGAGTACAAATGGGTACAGACATTAGCTCTCCACCCAGGAGTACAAATGGGTACAACATTAGCTCTTAGCCCAGGTATACACAAGGATACCAGCATTAGCTGGGGAGCAACCTATGATGGCCTGGTATCCCATCCAGGGGAAAATGGAAATATTCTCAGTCGTTTTATGCCAAGAAAACCAGAGGCACACATGGGCCTGTTGAGCTTCTATTCTTACAGTCTGAGATATGAAAAAAAGATGATCAGTAGATCAGTAGTTTTCTCCCATGGAGAAAATTCAAACAGTACATTGGTTTGATAGAGTTAGTTACTGTCAAACACAGCTGTTTGTGATCAAGGAGCTAATGTTTCACAGGTCAACTTGACAGCTAGTGCTCGCCAACATTTCTTTCATGGCAAATGTGCGGGCAACTGGGCCATGTCGAGAATGTGTTACTCCTACAGGTGTTTTGCTCTTGGTAGGAATACCAAATGTCTTTACAATTTCGAAATGTCAAATTGAAAACATGCTTGAAAAAGTGCAAGAGTCGAGCACACTTTTAAAGGTGGTAACTTTGCTTCATGTACACAGTGAAACTATGACCGTGCCAGTACTCGCAGGCCACATCTTTTAGGATCTGTTAGCACCATCTTTCCCTGTACTGTTCCATGAAATAACACAATAAACATGAGTAATGTATCACAATCTTATTTGAATTTGTATTGTTTTGTTAAGGTGTAGCAAAAAGAAGGGATGTCTATATGAAAGTTCCCCTTGTGAGTACATGTTGGCCATGCACAGCTATTGCTGTGCAGAACCTTTCAACTCAGTCAAATTGGTTGCCCAACAAATCTTGCAAGCAGTGTGGTATTCAAGTCCATCACGAGTCCTTTCACAAGTCCGGTCACGAGTCCCTTCTCAAGGCCAGTCACAAGTAACAGGGTGAACAATGACAAAGGAATACTTTTGCCACAGCTCATTTGAATAGCTTGTGAATTGGCTTTAAGACTGAATGACTTGTGATGGACTTACGATGGACTCAAATGCAACGCTGCTTGTGAGACTAGTATTCTCAAAGAAGGGGCACTACCAATCAATGTGCATTTTTTTTGGGGGGGGTCACCTGTCCAGTATCGATGTCTGTTCGGACTCTCAGGCTCGGGTCCTCCCGTTGAAGGCACCGCAGGGCCCTGTCCAAGTCTGTGAGCACAAAAGAAAGCACCCAAACATACAGGTGTCATTTCTGCCTACCAATCATGTCGTGCTCACTGAACAGATCTATATGGGAGTACTGAAACAAGAAGTGGCTACTTTGGTGAGAAGTGTTGCATGAAATTTGAAAAAAGTGTCTGCATATGCACGTACAGTTCAACCTTGTGAAGGGGCCCTGGTTGAGGTACGTGTACCTTGTCATTTTTAAACGTTTGCGGTGGAATAAATGTGTCAGCAAGTGGTTTAAACTGTACGTTCACTTGGTGAAGTGCAACCCGACATTACAAAATGGGCCGAAAACCATCACAGCCAGTGTGTAATCAATGGGAACAAAAATTAACCCATTAAAAAAAAAAAGAACTCGGTTTTGCTCTTTCGGACTGAAAAAAAAAGCTAGGCTTGAGGCTCATTCTGTTGGATTGATTACATCATATCTTAATTCAGTGCACGACTTACAGAATGTTGCATAAATTCGATGACATCTTGTGAGTACTACATGTACATGTACCTGCCTGGTAGGCCTGCGAGGCAGGTTCTATTGTGCAGAAGAAGACCGGCTCTGGAACATCTAGACTGCCCAGCACAGCGACCTGGTCAAAGCCGGTGGGGTCGGCGCCAGATTTGTTGTGCCTCTTCAAAGCTCTCGTGGCAGCCTTCAGAGCTGACTTGGAGGAGACCAAGGTGTCTCCTGTCGCTGTCTTTCTTGGCCATGATGAAAAATGTGACACAGACATGCCTGACTTACAGAACTACCGTGGAGGTGCAAGAAGCACTGTACAATGCACAGCGCATGTGCAGGAAGTGTGTACACCATGTTGAGCATGTACATGTATGTACATACCTATGCACATGCATGTACACGCAACTGTTGTGTGATAAACAATACCAACTAACAGATTTACTGTCTGGATGTTCCAAAATCATTCAAAAGGAAGTCAATTTTAATGGACAACAGGCTTGCAGCAAGTTAACGGCATTCCATATTGTTTCATACGATTTGACTGACGGTGAAGGTGCACAAATCAAGTTAGGGTGGACAGCTGCAAGTGAAGATTGTCCTTATGCTTTTACGGTCAATTTGGACGGAAGAACATTCAAATGTCTCTAGCACTCACATTTGATTATATCCGCAAACATTTAGTTTCCCTAACCTGTTTCATGCCAACAGCGACAGCGATGTTACCAGCCGACATGCTGGGAACCTCGCGGTGGTTGTCAGCAAGCACCCACAGCAAGCGGCTGATACGCTCCCTGAGTACGAGGAGAAAAGAAAAGATGTGAGAGAGCTAAGTGGCACCTGGATTTATCTGGCTGTACATCAACATCGACTTAGCTGCTACCTGTTTTCCACCATTGGTGTAAGTATTGTCACTGTCTGTGGCCTGGTAATTCAGGCCTGAATCCGGTAAACAAAATTTACAAAGCACAAACACTGAGGGGTGCTGTATTTGAGACCTAAAAGTTTGGGACCGAGACCTCAGGGTCCTTCGAGAGCAAGACATAAACATTCTGACTTAACAAAGAAAAACTCCTGCACTCCAGCGACGCAAATTTCATGCCAACTTACGTGCAGTCCCGGTTGGCATTATAGATGGCCGACTGTGGTTTGAGGGACCCCGAATACACCCGTAAGAAGACCAGTGCCCCTCTCTGCTTGTCGTGGATGATCTTGAAGGCGTAAGCGCACAAGTCGTCCCCATAAAGATGGCTGTCGGGCACCAGTAAATGGTAAAAGAGAACCGTTAACCGTAGTTAAATGACGTCTCCTTGTCAGCCGCCTTAAATATCCAATCAGCAGATTAATGACCCAGTTTGACATTCTAACAGGGCATGCCCACCATGAAGCGTGGCCGATGTCATTCGGGAAGAACAGCACACACGCTGGCAAGGCCTGCCTAATCAGTGCAGCCTTACACTGACTTGCCTGCGCACTTTGTTCCCTAATGACCGTGCCCTTTTGAAATAATAAACTGGCTCATTATAAACACCCTCTGTAATTGCAGGAAGAACACAGGCTTGGACAAGTCAGGCCTATACCAACACAGTCACAGACCAGGCCTACGATCAAATACCAGCAACCCAGTGCCCACATTTATGAGAAATAAACTCAATTCTAGCAAATCACCAGCTCGGCCGCTCCCTCTTCGTGAATCTGGTGTCGCATGTACTCACACAAGATCCTGATGTCTCTCGTCAGGGGCGGGCAGGTAGGCATTGACCGCGTCCATCAGCAACTGGACCCCTTTGTTCTTGAGTGAGCTCCCGCACAGAACTGGCACAATTTTCTGCTCCAATGTCAGCCTCCTCAGGGCTGCTGCCACCTGAAGAGGGAGCAGTTGTGGAATTTGTAAGGGTTCATGCCTTGAATTTTGATAGGCATACAATTTGTGCAGCTCTACGTGCCTTTTCAGTGTATGAAGAGGAAATCTGAAAACCAAATTCCATGACTTCCCCTGACTAAAATATGACTATTTCCGCGACATTTGATGCCAATTTCCAAAGATAAGTTGTCTAGCATTATGGACAGGAAGACTGCCATAGCCATGGGCTGGCAAGGACAGCCTGTAAATCTATCATTATTCTGTTATCAGGATTTTTCAAGCTTTTTTTGACATTGGAAACCCCGATGAAGCAACTTGAAACTTCTTTTAGGGTGAAAAGTGTATTGAAAGGTGCACCTTGCCAAACATTTCAAACTGTAAGCTTTCCTGGACAACAGAGAGTGCTATTGCCATGATGTCATTCAGCAAAGACATTGCCCACCATTTTGCCGTTCAGATCGTGAACCTAAAATGTGTTCATTGAAATGTAAACTAAGGTTGTTTGAAACACGGGTACATTTTTGAGGGCTGCAACAAACCAAAACAATGCACTGCATATACCCCTTGATAACAAACGTCGCACAAACCATTTCTGGTGAAACTTTGCTGAAGTCGATTTCGTCCTGCTCCAAAATGGCTTCGGCCAGTTCCTCATCCAGGTCCATCAGCTGAAGGGGGAAAAAGAGCAAAGAATGTGAAGCTTCAAGGACACTCTGGTGGTCTTAGAATCCCCCCCCCGCCAGTGGTCTTCTTTCCTGAGAATTTACCTGCTCTATCAATCTAATCCGTGCATCAGACACCCTCAGCCATAACTCTGCATCCCTGCGCTCGGTGATTGTCTCCCGTGTGTAGGTCCGTCCCGCATTGTCAGTTGCTCCTGGTTGCCAAGTAACTGTTTCCATAGTTACAACATCCACAATACCAGAAAAGGTGCGGTGTTGGCCAATGGGCATCTACATGAGAAAAAAAGGAAGAAACGTCGGCACAGGGAGCCTCTGACTAGTCAAATGGGTGGTACATTAATGACCGTGATACAAACACCTCACAGAGCAGTTCGTTTTAATGAATTACATAATGAATTGTAAAGTATTGTACCCTATCTCTTCATTGCTTTATAGTGATGCTCCTAAAAGAACTGGGCCTCCCCTGAGATTTTTAATGTGAAAATGCAGATTACTGCCAGAAGGTGTCTTCTGAGAGTTTCCATGATTTGAAACTCCCAAGGGAGATTTCATTTCTAGTGATTCAAAATGGTAAATATGATATGCATGACTTTAATTTAAAGTCGAGGTATGTAGTAACGTTCAAGCACATCCCAAACAGACGTGATCCATTAACCCAGCGCGAGTCCTGCTCTGCTCTGCCCACCAACCTGTAACGGCACTGGCACAGCACGCAGTCTGTCCCGGATCGACGCCAGGCATAACTCAAAGTCTGCGTTGGCCTTGTCCATCTTGTTCAGGAATGCCAGGCGAGGAATGCCATAACGATTGGCTTGCCGCCACACAGTTAGAGTCTGTGCCTGAAAGATGATGGGGAAAAAAAAGCAAATGGCAAGTAAGGCGGCTCAGACGAAGACAACGACCAACTTCAAGTGGGAGCGGATTACCCTCCCTTGCTCCTTCCCATGATGCAACACGTAAAACTGCTTCTCAAAGTTAGACTGGATCCCTGCCCAAGCAATCATGTTAGGGCAGATAAAATTTGTCGACAAAAGCAGAGTATAATGTAATGTCCGGGATGTCTATTTCCATCTATTTTAGATTCAACATGAGCAAGTTTTTTTTGTTTTTATAAAAGTAATCAAAGTTGTGCAAAAATGGAGATCAATATGCAAAAACAAAAAGATTGATGGAACTTTATAGAGTTGTGATACACGCTGGGAAGTCTACAAAGGGATACTGAATATTGATAACAGAATTCAAAAATCTAGGAAATGGGTTTGAAAAATTCCAGCTAATTGGGGTGATATCCAGAAACGAGGAATTCATCCGATTGCAGTAATACACTTATGCTCACGGCAATTACCAGACCTAGAGATTCTCCTAACCGGTTGGAATCTCCTGGCTCGGGAACCAGACTATTCCTCTCTATCACTGTGTAGCTTACTGTGCTATGCGCCACTCAGGCTTCCTTCTGATTACGTGAGCCTGTGAGAAATGCTTGCAGTCACTGGCTCTGTTTATGTTTCCTATTTTGAGCAGCAGCCAAGTAGTTTTGGATGCGGCCCCTGACTGGTTTCACTTTACACATACCTCAACTCCCTGTGAAGCATCAAAGACAGCAATGGCGCCATCTAAGACCCTCAGTGACCTCTCAACTTCAACGGTGAAATCCACATGACCTACAAACAAAAAGATGTACATGTAGAAGGGGTCCTTTGAGGGTATGTCCTATGCTATGAAAAGAAAAGGCGTCATGCTGTACACAGTTAAGCGTCTTCATGGGCAAAAGTGTAGTCCATGGATCATCACAGAGGACCACATTTTTACAGTACAACAACTGAAAGTGACAACCTGGACCAGTAAACGGTGGGTTAAAGTTCTGCTGTCCCACCTGGCGTGTCAATGAGGTTGATCCGGTGCTCCTTCCAGAAGAACGTTACGGCTGCTGAGGTGATGGTGATCCCACGGTCTCGCTCCTGGGGCATGTAGTCCGTCACAGTATCACCATCATCGACATCTGTACAAACAAAATGCAAACAACCAACTGACAAATTAAAAATGAAAACAAAGAAAGATGGGTAAACAAACACAAATACACCGCCAAGCCCACACCTTAATAATAGCCCTTGAATTTAAACTTTCGATCAAAACCGCCTCCATAGTTTTAAGAATAACAACCTTCACCCTTGACCTGTGGAATCCAAAATCAATCAGCCCCTGGAGGGTTGTCAAACCCAACCACTTACCAGGTCTGAAGTTTTTATGTCAAGTTTTTCTCAAGTTATGGTGAGAAATCTCTTTGCACCCATCTCAATGGATGGACAAACAAACAGGCAGAAAAGGCCATGGCTGTATGACCCTTTGGCTTCAACCAGCCAGGCATGGTAATTTTCAGGTTGCTTCACACATTACCTCTCTGAAATTTATTGGGTTTAAAGCATCTGGTCTTATTAAAAGGGGTATAGAATGTGACCCCATACTGTGTGTAGTTTCCTGCAAGAAGGATGGCTTCTAGCCTGACGTGGCATTTACAAAGTTGGAATATAAGTAGGCGTACAAGTTTCCAATGCCCAACTTGCCTTTGCTCTTTTATCATTAGTTGGAGAGCACAGCCCAGTCTGTTTAGAGCCAAAAGGCTCAATAGGTCAGTATTAATCTGCTGTTTCCTTGCCATGAAACAACTGAGAATATTTCGGTTCCCCGCTGGATGGGATGCCAGTCCATCACAGACTGCTTCTCACTTCTAGGTGGATAGAAGCTGCAAGGGTAAAGTGACTTGCTCATGGACACAACAACTTCCCAGCTGCTGGATTTGCATCTCTGGACCTACGATTGCAAATGGCACACCATAACCATTGGGCCATGCACCCTGTCATCAGCAATATACCCTTGGGAAAATTTTGACACACCTAGGAGTTACAACTTAGACTGACCCCCTAGGTGCTTTGTTGTTCCGGAGTAGTACAACATCCTCTCGGTCGTTGTAGTCTTCCCAGCATCGATGTGTGCCATTATTCCAATGTTTCTGATATGGCTCATGTCCATGTCAGGGGCAATCTTGTTACCTACCAAAGAATATAAGGTAAAAGACTTTGTCCGGGTTGAAGGTCTAAAATATTATACAATCGGCCTCTCTCATGCTCCTGAAAATTTTAATGGTACCTTCATGGTTTGTTTTGGGTGGACTGTCCGTTTTAGCACCCCTAAGTATTTGACCTACATGTACACACCTGTACTATGGCATCATTTCAAGCCCTCTTGATGAGGTCATTCATTTGTAAAGTCCACTTAACAATTAAGCATAATGCACCTGTGGATTTGATCCATGGCATTTAGAACTGGTAAAGAACAGCACTCTTTCCTGTAAGACATTTTTGAGAGTTAGCGTGCCCGTCGACTTACCTTTCAACCTGATAGAGATTCTCTGAACAGAATCTCTTTGGAGTAAATAGCCTGCATCTGCTGAAGTCCACAGTCCACTAAAGGTGCGGCCACAGCGAGCGCACTAGAAGTAACAGAAAGTTTTAATCGGGTTAACAGACACATTCATTGCTGTCATGTCTTGATCATTTATTCGCCAGATAACAATATCCACAATTACACGAAAAATACACAGCTCCATACTAACTCACCTGAATTTTCATTTTCTATAAACACCAGCAAGTTTGAAAAGATGAACTTAAAAATGACCTTTCCTTCTGAAGACAACCACAATACAACTGACATCCAGAATATATATTGATCCTGCATTGTGATCTTCTTACAACACTTTTTTTTCAGAATTTTACAACCATGGAGGAAGCTGAAATTTGTTTGCAAGTAATTTTGTGTGTCTACATGTACATAAATCTTTTGCTCCGAAACAGAGCTACTTCAAAAAATTTGAAGGCTCCCATTTCTTGAAGGACATATATCCTTGGGTAACATGTTTGCATCTCTGGTAGATGTCTGTTATAATGAAGACTTCCTCTAGTCATGCTGGGCATGATTAGCTAATATGCATGATTGCCCACTCGTTCAGTGCGAATGATCCGTCTTGCATGAAATTTCCATTTTTATTCCCCTTTTTCAAAACAATCTTCCACAACCATGAATTATCAAGGAAAGGAAAATGGCACAAGGTGGGATTACGCGTATTGACGAATCATACAAAAAGATAGGTGAAATTGCCTGAGCGAGTAAATATCAAGCAATTAGGCCTACATGCATCTACCAATTTGGAACCAACGGCAGACATGATGATATGCCCACCTGCAGGGAAAAATGAGAGGCATCTGTATAGGCTAGCTACTATTATAAGGGTCTTTAGGGGAAGATTTGCTTCAGCTGTTAAGAAAGCACAAACATGACAAAGGGAGGTTTTCTCTGGTACGATCACCTGATGATTACTGGACACTTTTCAAATGCCATAGCATACGGAACCATCAAAAAGATGGATCCAGTAAGGTCTACGGAGTAGTGCCTTACTGTTCAGGAAGTAACCTACATGTAGGCCTATTTATTCCAACCATGGAGGTAGAAATAAATAGGTCATGTTCCAACGACCATGACCATTACTAGGCCCTATCAATACCAGGCCTAAAATCATGATAACCAGATAATCATCAGACCATACTAGCGTGAACATTAGTGTGCAGCAGTTTCTTCCATAAACGTACTACTACTAGTTCTACCTGTACAATTCTAGCTAGGCAGTATACTAGCGTACGATCAATCATGCTTAAGTCTTTAACCCACCTTTGAGGCAACTAATCTCCTGAAAAATCGATTAGCCATCCGTCCTTTACTTCAGACTCACGCCTAAGATAGTATTACTCAGCTTTCTGTGAAACGTTATTGCTGTATAACATAAAAAAATGAAGTCATTTTACTGAGTCTTGTCATCCAACATGTATTATATGGGCGCTGACATATTTTATTTGTTCGTTACTTTTTCATTACTCCACACATTTCGTAGACTTGATCAAGTCCCGCTATCTATACTTGAAGGCATGTACTGTACCCTTTTGTACACATGTATTTTACTAAAGGAGACTGTTCTTCCCGCTTAGTCGAGGCTTCTTCTGTTGACATACAGGAATCAATTTCCCTTGGAAAAAAATCTCCAGATCCACGATTATAACGAATTTCAAGTTGGGTTTCCCCAGCGTTTTGTGTGAAAAAATAATTTAAAAACTTCTTCAGTGGTACCCACATTTGCGGCCATCGTACAACTGTAATAGCGCCCCCATTTGGCAAAAAACTTTCGGCACTCTGTCTGGTGTTGAGATAAAGGAAAAGTTCAGATTTCACCGTAACTCTCGATTGTTGGCCCTTTAGTCCCAGGCATTCAACAGTTGGTGAGTTTATAAAAACAAAAGGGTTCTGTTTTTTTTCTCATAGACTATTTATGGGAGCGGTGGGCAAGTAGGATTTGGGGGTGTTTATCGTTAACGGTCTTGACGCTGTTTGAGCTTTGATGCTCTGTCACGGTCACGAAACTGACTCTCACTGCACTTTGGGGATTGTTGTACGGTGTAGTGCCACTGGACCTTTGCAGTAGGCTACTTGCATCCTTCACATTTATGATATTGTGTACGGTAACAGTTCCATAAACAATCTCACTACTCTGCCCTTGCAGTAGTTTGTCAGCCATCAGAAAGTGATAGCATTTCCTAAGAAGTCCAATTTAGCCGTGAAAATGTTGAATTTCAGGCGTTTACGTAGAAAACACTTTGCTGACCAGTCGCATGCAATACGGTTTTGTGCACAGGGTTAAGTGATGTCTGGATGTGGGACTCTCAGTCAGTATGGTTCATGCCTTAAGCATTTCTCTCACTGAATCAAGCACATGATGCATGCAGAACCAGTCACCTACTTTTACCTAGCTGAAATTGCATTATGCCGCACGGCAGACGAGAAAAGTGATTTGACTCAGTTTAAGATTTAACCAAATCAAGTGTTCACCTAGTTGTACACTTCTCTGCTCCCAAATCTTTGTGAATATTTTCAGTGGCAATTTGTTGCTTAATTCCACAGTGAATCGCTTGCATGGTAGGACTGGGCTGCCACTGTCATAAGAGAAAGGAGCAGTTCTGTTTCATAAAGTCTCCATTGCTAGTGCGTGCATTTCTGGTTCTATGTGGCCACCTTAACAACAGAACAATATGCTGTCAGACCTTCTTGAAGAAAATGTCCACGGTCCAGAATAACTGTTTGAAATAATTTCTTTCTCTGTTTTCAGAAGTCACTCACTATTGGACTGAACACCGATGGGCGTGACACAGGGAAGGTTGCAGGTAGGAATACGGTACACCCTATACCCTATTGTATGAAAAACTTTCTGTGTAATGTTTTTTCACTGATGGATCTACATTAAGTCCTGTCGTCTCTTTCTCTTGGCAACCATGGACCATTTAACTGTGGATGCAGTTTGTGGTGGTGGTGGCACTGGCCTGGGAATTCGGCACCAAACAGACTAAACAGAGAAATGGATATGAGTAGCCTTCAAATGTCAAATCATGACTATTTCCATGAGTTATTTGCAGTGTTGTAGTCGAGACCGCTTAAGACCTTCACAAGACCATGCAAGACCTACACAAGACCTCCAGTCTGAATTCAAGTCACTAGCTATTCAAATGAACTATAACAAAAGCATTCCTTTGTCATTTTTCACCCCGTTACTTGTGACTGGTCTTGTGCATGGTCTTGTGACTGGTCTTTTGCATGGTCTTGTGATGGTGTCGACTACAACACTGGTTATTTTACTTAGCAAGCAGACAACAAAAGTGAACTTACAAAATAATCTGTCAGTTGGAGAAATCCTTTCCAAGGCATGTCAAAAAACCCAGCTAGCTGCAACTCACTTTACAAGAACGAGTCTGAAACTTCTCAAAGTTTGCTATTAAATCATTCAGGCAATTATGACTATTATTTTGGCAAACATGCTGTACTACAAAGAAGACAGTTTAAGTACTTTCCACTCCTGATTATACTGTTTACTTCAAAAGGGCTGTTCAAAACACAGTTCACATCAGTGTATCCTCATGTTCCATTCGATCTTGTTTTTAGTTTAGGTCCCGGAAGTCCGATTGGCTTTGATTTCTGTACTAATGCAAATCTGCATACATGTATTTACAAGAAAACTGTGATGTCATCGCTGGAAAAGCCTTCATGGTACAGCTGCATGTATTTTGAAACTATACAAGTTGCCAGAATCACAGAACTTTTGCTGTCTTGAGCTGCCTCATCTGTAGTGATTTGCTCCTGTTTCATTAAACCAGTCAGCAAAGATTTCCTACAATTTTTGTCATTTATCACGTTTTTAAGTTTACTGTCCAAATAAGACCCCCCAACAAATGTCTTCCTAAGATGACATCACAGCAGTAGCATCCTCATTAAAGAAAAATTAATGGAAATTTATCTTTTATGCTGGAAAAAATGTAAAACAGATATCGAATAGTTTCCTGGCATATCAGTTGAGCAAAACGTTGCGCTAAATACATGCCTATCATATGCCACAAGCCTTTTCAGCGCAAACATTTCAAAATACAAGTTACAAGCACGGCAGTAACATCATTCAGATATATTATCAGAGCAAGCTTGGCATCACATTACTGCGAATTGTGACAATTATTAAGCCTTTCTTGAAGCGCTTACATTGTGCTCGATGTGTGTGCCAAAGAAGTGTGCAAAAACCTTTGTTTGTGGAGTGTGGTTGGGAAATCTCTGCATCATACCCCATTCAAAACTTCACGATCGGGGTCCTGATTGTTATGTCCTAAGCCTACCCGAGGAGTCAAGTCTCCTCTTCCACATAAAAATATTCTAAAAGTGTGGCATATCCGGGGGGGGGGGGCAAGTTGTCCTCTGGACACGATGGGTCGTTGGAGGGGAGTTGGTGCTGGCCGTGTGTGGAAGTCCCACCAAGTTTGGTTTAAATTTTTAATCAAAGTTAAAGTGTGTTTATTTTAATTATTTTGGGTCTTTGTAAATAGTTGTTCTAATAGGAATTTTTTTTTTAATATTGTTAAGCACTCCTGAACATTTTTTTAATGAAATGAGCGTTATATAAATTAAATTTAACAATAATAATAATAACAACATTGACTGTTTTCAACGGAATTTAAAGCGCCAACCATTTCGAAATGGTACATTACCACACTAGTTGAGGGTGGGGGTGAGGGTTGACGATGAACCTTTAGAAAATATACGCTGTCTTGAACCTTTGTCCCGATAAAGATTGAGTCAATTAGGCAACGGGGAGACTTCTTTTCAAACGAGATCGGGACACCGCCGCGTGTCTAGTTTGGGTACAGCAAAAACCCAGTGAACGAGGTGAAACTGACCTCGTTGCCGTGAACCCGACCGCGCAATACCAGGTAGACCTGGTCACCCGGCACTAACGCCATCACTGCTCCGCTGCTGAGCTGATGGAAACCAGAAGTATTTTCATACACTTTCACGGAGGTTTCTTCGTTTTTAACCAGGCTCACATAAAGATCCCTTGACTCAGGCGTTTTCAAGACTGAAAACGAGAATGAGTAAACGCCGGGCACGCTGCACGTGAAAGTACCGTTGGACAGGTCGAAATTTGCCCCTGCGTTAAATATTGTCTTGTCAAAGGCCAGGGGACCTCCACTGGAAGTGTATCTGGTGACTCTCCCTACTGTGAAGGCCACTTGAGGCATTTCACAGACACCTTTGAACCCAGTGGGACCAACCTCCCCCTGGGGGCCAGGAAATCCCCGTGGTCCTCGCTCTCCTTGACGGCCTGTGTCTCCAATAAGTCCTCGGACGCCCTGTGCGCCAGTATAGCCTCTGTCTCCCTTCGATCCGGTGTTGCCTTTCTCTCCAGGAGCCCCAGGATCCCCCTTGGGCCCCATCACTCCCGGGGGAGCAGGCACTGCTGGGATGCCCGGCACACCGGGGATTCCGGGAAGGCAAGGACAGTCTGCCGAGTTGCAGCTCGAGGGTGTTTCAGTGGGCACTGTCACGGTGCTGTCCGACAGCACGCTCGCGTTGGTTATTGACCACAGCACGACCAACAGCCTCGTCAACGTCAACTACATGTATTGAGGAGAAAACATACAAGCCAACGCATATGATTGTCGAATTGAAGGTTAGTAATCAACAAGCCAGTTCGATACTTCAAAAAAAAGTCAATGTCCCTTGAGCATGCGGGTCGGGGTGTGACCGCCCTGACAGGACAGGCGTCGCGCGGGCATTGTTCTTCCCGAATGACCTTGGCGGGCTTCATTTTGGGCATAAGCTGTTGAAATACCGAACATGCTCATTGGCACAAAACGGGGTAGGGATAAAAGATACGTGTATCTTTTTTTTATTAAAGAGTGCCTAAGAATGAATCAGTTCGGTATTTCGAAAAGCCAAGGTCTTTCGGGAACTTGAACAAAGTGCACGCAGGAGTCAGCTTACGGCTGTACTGATGGGCCAGGATATCTTGCGCGCGCGTACAACTCTTTCCGAAAGGTCTTGTACTGGGCATCGAACACCAAACTGGCTCATTTCCACAAAGCGATTCCCTTTTTATTTCTATTGTTCTGTTTTTGGCCTTGATGGTTCCATGGTCTGTTGGTAAAAATAAGTTGAGCTCATAACAATAAAGCTCTAAATAAAATGTTAATTAAAAATGCTAAATGTATGGCTTTCTTGTTTTAAATTAAAGGGTCCAAGCATATTGAATGTTTCTTAGGCACACTATCTCTGTAAACTTTACCTCTTGTAGGTTTGAAACCCTTTATACATGTATCCCTTTTGGGCAATAAGAGCACTTTAAAAACTACGTAACCGATGGCGCTCTTGCTGTTATTACCGTTAGGCTCCATGTTTGCCAGTGTCGTCCTTAACTTGTGTTAAAGGAACCAGGAAATAGAAATATTTTTATAAATTTTACTAAAAACCCTTGAAATTGTATCTTTAGGTTTCAATTAACCTCACTTTAAATTTTTGTTGTGCAACTTTAACCCATATTTTTATGCTTTTTTGGTTTTTATGCTAATGTATATTTGCATAGTCATTCACTGAATCTCAAAGTTGCACTGATTTGTGCACAGCAAATTTCTAGATTTTTTTAACCACTGCTATGGCAGATTTTATTTTCTTTGGCAATTTATTGCTGTGTAAGGATATGGCAATAATCCAGCAAAAATCCTTTTCACAGAAATGTTCCCAGATAGCAAATTTGGGGTTCACAATTTGAGCATGAAACACGCATCCTGAACCATGTCTTCCTGGATTTGCATCAAAGCAAAAACGCCCTCACTTGTCCAGAAATGCTTGGTCAATTTTTAATGTTTGGAAAAGTGCACCGTTCAGTTCTCGTAACTCAAAAAAGATGTCAAACAGTCTTCATACATGGAAGAACAGTACAGAGATAAACAAAAAGTGATTCTAAGAAAAATTCATTTCCTGGTTCCTTTAAGTTCATAGTAAACTTGAAGACTGGCAAATTGAAGATTGACATTCAATGCGTTCAGATGACTGTGGAAAACATTACATGCATATATTTGGTTTATAAATGTATATAAGTTTTCTTCTGTTTAAGTTGAGAACTCGGAAAAATTGGCTCACTGACAACTTTTCTGAGAATCGGTTGCTCTATGAGCTAATGATAAATCACCGCATTATAAAATTTAACAGCTAATCAAGTAAAAATGCATCACGTTTGCTGGTTTTAAGAGCACCTGTTAGTCACAGTACCTACTTAGTAAGGTAGCTGTTAGTTTAATTTTTTCTCGTTATACAGTACGGGCGATTCACAATATAGTGCGCCTCCAAGAGTTTGCAAAACGTTAGCCAATCCAATTACAACGCTCGAAATCTGTCGGTCCCTTTCCAAACACGCATTGGGGCGACAAATTTCGCGCATTGTGAGTGGCCACCGCGTTGCAAACTCTTGAAGGGGCACTATTGTGAATCGTCCGTATTGCGGACCGTTAATTCTCTATATAGGTTGCCAAATATGGCACACGCGATGTTTGAAATATTGGCGCGCTAACAATGCAGTGTCATGTTGCCAGCGGTCATGCATACTGCGCAGATGGTTACGTTTCGTGACCGAAACTGTTGTCAATTTCTTCACCACCACTAAACCTGGATTAACTTTCAATTTTAGACTCTAGACTCGTGACACAAAAGTAACACTGCCTTCATTTAGCAGCTATAGCATTTTGACAGATACCCATCTATGTATATACCTACTCTTAAAAATACGTGCTCACCATGTTTGCGTAAAAAGCCACGTCTCTTGATCCAAGGCTACGCCCACGATTGGTAGAATGGCTATATTATAGCTACAGAAATGCAAATAAAACAAACTGAATTTTATCTTTCTTGAAATTATTTTTCAAACAGTCCATACTTCCACCGACAATTTTGCCTTGATGCCAATCCAGATTTGCCCCGGTTGGCATCAGCTTATCACGGTCCAAAATGCACGCTGCACCGGACCGTGCACCGCAGTGAGTGAGTAGAGCAAACCTAGATGACTGCACATCGTTGTAGAGAGAAGCTGAGAAATCTCACCTCAAACGCGTGATCTGGCAGTAACTTTGATTAGCTTTTTCGTTGTCTGGAAAACCGGACCTGTTTGGCCTAGCGATGCTGTGAAGACTCCCCTTTTAGCCCGCTGTTTCCCACCACTTTTGTAGTTGCTGCACACGTAAGCTGCGCTCAGACATTTTACTACCCCACGAACCAGTCACTTGTAAATCTGTAGCGCTTTGTGATTGGCCCTTGCTCGCTCTACTCGCCCGAAACAAAAAATCGCTATAGGTTGCCAAGATACCAGAATACCGTGTCTCGAAATCACGCAGTGTTAGTTGCACGGTCACCGGAGGTTGACAACGTGTAAGTTCACTGGTTCGTCAGACTTATGTTAAAAAGGCGGTATGATCAGACAAATCGTGCTGTCAGAATGACAAGTGAAATAATGTCAGTTCTTGTGTTTATGTCTACTCTAACCTTTACGCAGAAACAATAAATCCATTTTTTATGTTGTTCATTTCCCGTTTTCAATGTTAGAAAAAATGGCTGCTGGTCAGTTACATAAAGAGGCGCAAAATTATGCAATTTCGTTTTCCTTTCCGTCTGAAAAGTGCACTAGTGGTCAGCATGATCAAAGTAACAGCACCCCCTTGCAAAAGATGCGGGGGGCGGGGTATACCCGAACACTTCTTTGATTATTGTATATGCTTTTCACCTGCGATGATGTTGCTATGCGGACAAAAGGACAGCAACAATTACATTAGTGACAACTGCATGTACATGTATAGTAACCTCCCCACGACCACAATTTTTCCCATCCTCGGGCCCCCTGCCGACAATCCTGGGTTCGCTCCTGAGTTTGAAATAAAACAGACTATTGAAATATATGCACGCGGGCAGGTCAAAGTGCGCGTATAAACAGAGCGCACCGAGGGATAAATTCAGTAATTTATGTTCTCCAAACAATCCCCTCTCTGAACCCAGAGAGCAACCTCACAAGGAGGTCGCGGTTGGGGGTAGGAACATACCAACATGTAACGGGCTGCCGTGCACGGCTCAACTATACACAGCTTTCCTGGTACTGGAGCCGTTCCCCTCTCACAGTGTAATTACGGTAGCCTACCTTCATCCGACTCGAGAAATTTCCTTGCAAATCCGAGACCCAAATATTACTTTGGAGAGTCAGGAATCGAAGAAGCACCACGATTGACAAATTGTATACTTTCAAAATGTTTCAGTAGTCTCAAAACTGAGTTCCCCTTCTCAGCAGGCTGGTTCCAGAATTTTTCAATTATTATTACCCCCCCCCATAAAAAAGAGAGAAAATATAAACCAAAACTGTCATAAAGCGTGAGTGGACTTGATTGTAATGCAGTGTGCAAAAAATTCCACATCTTTTTTTCGATGGCATCTGAATGTGCGCAACGTTATTTCACAATCATAAGTTTAACGCTGCAGATTATAGTTCCCTGCATGTGGCATCTGTAAAAAAAACCTCTTATTTTGAGGAGGAGGCTCATTTACATAATAAGTACACGCGCGCGATAGTCAGCCTTGAGCAGAAGCGCCCCTCATCGGTTGAAAAGAGTCACGTCGGCGAGACTTAAGTTTTCATGTTGTTGGTAGCGATGCGACTGTGACGCGTGTATTTCTTAGTTGTTCGTGAACCAGCGAAGTTCAGTTTCGACCAACAGAGCCTCCGTTGGTAAGAAAATAGCGCCCTCTCTTGGTCCAGGTCGAGGCCCATAGCATTTCGCAGGGAATGGAACACGTGGTTTTCTATTTGGTTGTTTAAATTAATTAACAACAGACAAACCGAACAGTCGCTGGATCAGCCGCTGCGTTTAGAAACCAGAGCGATTGTTCCAAAGACACCTAGCTCGCCGAGACGGCGCGCTCTGGCCACTGAGCGTTCTTGTTGGGTATGACGTTTCGTTGTTGTATTTGTAGAATAATATTAACATAATCATGTCTGTTTTAAAATCTCGATCCGCGCCCGGCAAGGTGCAGAACGATCATTTTTCACGGCGGTTGTTGGCCATGGGCAAGATAGTCTTGGTTCCAAGGTTTATATGTTGTAGTAAATCTTTATTTTGGCTGTTGCGTCTTGGCGAGCGTTAATTTCCCCCTCAACCCATGCTGTATTTCTTGAACAAATTAACTACACCTTATAAAATTATTCATGAGCAAATTAAGGAAATTCAAAGCGGCATACAGAGCTGCAGAGTTCCACGTGTTTGGCAAGAACTATATAACAGACTGGTTCCGTCAAAATCACATCTCACAGTCTACATGCTACGAAGGTTCCAGAGGAAAGTTTTGGTGCTACCAGAAATCAAGTAACCCACAGCAGCGACCCGGATACTCACCGGGATGACGTCGCCTGGGCGCGCACAATTTCTACTTTCCGGACTCGAGGCGAAATGACCCACTACAATTTGCTCAATTTACCCATCGAATCAATGGGCAGGGTTAAAGCTGTTTTGCTGTTCACATGAAGATGAATTCACTAGTATTTAATAATGTCATCATTGGCTTTAATTTGTCATTTTCAAGTTATAGCGAACGGCATGGTTGACTGTTATCATTGACAGGGTCCTGAGTGTACACAATACAATGTACTTCGGTGGTTGTCGTTCCACTTTTCAATAATTTGGTAGGCCTTGTTCAACTCATTATAATTTATATGAAATGTCGAAAGATTTTTTAAAAATATGAATAAAAAGTTACATCATCTTGCTGTTTATGAATAACATTGACTCTCTGGAACGCGAGACAGGGACCATCGCTGACTGGGACGCGATAACAGCGTTTGAGTTTTAAGTTGTGTCTGCCAAGCTAACGGAGAACTTACTGAGCAGACGATCACCGCAAAACCGTAACCATTTATCTCAAATGCCACAGGTCGATTGGGAAATCGTTGGCCTGAGTGGTGTGCAGGGTCTGGTTGTGACTGGGAGCACTTTTTTAGTGTCTTCAAGCGGCCCTTTCCGAGAGACAATACGAAATTATGGTTGATTTGACACTTCACCTGGGCCACTCTGATACACCACTCAATAGAAGCTTGGCCTAGAGCCATCCCAGACACCTACGATCGACTGCAAATTATCCATAGCCTATATTTGGCATTCACTGTGTAGATAATCTCATATGTGCCATTTTGGGTCATTCCATGTCAATTTCAGTCCCAAAACCTGCACGAAATGCCCTGAACAGCTTTGGGTATTCTTTTTTTTATGGTGCCTTGTACTTTTCAAGCGTTGTACTCTCTCCAGATCAGTCGCATGCGATAGGGTTTTGTGCACAGGGTACCAAATGACGTCTGGACGTAGAACTCCTTGGTTAGCGCCAACTTTAAGCATTTTAAGCAACTTTAAGCAGAGATAACCTGTCACTTACATATACCTAGATGAAATTGCAGTATGCTGCACATCAGGCGAGAAATAGCTCACTAGTCATTTGACTCAGTGGAAGGTTTTACCACATTGAGTATTTACCTCGTTGAAGACTAACTTGTGTGCTCCAAAACCAGTTTTAGGTACAGTATTTACATTATTAGTTTCATGTTGATTGCTAAAAGCTAACTGCTGACACGGGACTGGGCTGTCACTGTAACAAGAAGAGGCAGGACTGTTCCCGTTAACGTTCAAGTCTCCATCGTGAGTGCGTGCCGGCATTTCTGGTCCTATTGGCCAGCTTAACAACAGTACAATTTTGCTTTCAGACCCCTTTTGAAAAAAATTCAGCACTCCATAATAACTATTTTCACTATTTTAATTAATAATAATAATATTTTAATAATAATAGCATCTTTGTGTGTTTTCAGAAGTCGCTCACTAGTTGACTGAACACTTATGGGCGAGACACACGGAAGGTTTGAGGTAGGAATACACCCAATATCCNTGTTGTATAGAAATATTTCTGTGTCATGTTTTTTCACTGTGGGATCTTCATTAAGTCACGTTGTTTCTTTCTTGGGGAACCACGGACCATTTAACTGTGGATGCAGTGTGATGGTGGTGGGAATTCACCACCAAACAGTTTAAAAGGAAAAGTAGATATGAGTTAGCCTTGAAAAACAAACACATGACTAGTAGGCTAGTTATTTGACTTAGCAGTCAGTCAACAAAAATGAACCGAGTTCTTTACGTAATAAACCGTCAGCAGGAGAAATCCTTTCCAAGGCATATTAAAAAAAAATGAGAATTGTAACAGTATTCTTCAACTCAGGATGTAAGAATGAGTCCCAACCTCCTCAAAGAATGCTATTAAATCATTCTGTTTGTTTTTATTTGGCAAACATGCTTTGTTACAACAAAGATATTTAAGATAAGACGATTTTACCTTTACTTCAAAAGGGCTATGCAAAATACAATTCACGTCAATGCAACCTTCAGTATGTGTGTATTAATTTCAATAATTCCGTCGCAGAAGACTGATTCCTTTTGATTTTTTTGGACTACTGCACATTTGCATATTCATGAGCAAACTATGGACAGATTTCATTTCAGGAAAAGCCCTTAATGGTATAGCTGCGTGTCTTTTGGAACTGTACGAGTTGCCAGAATCACAGAACTTCGACTATCTCAAACTGCCTTTTCTGTGGTGATTTGTTCGTTTCATTAAACCAGTGAGCAAAGATTTATCACAATTTAAAATTTCATTCAGCAAATTTTTAAGTTTACATTCCAAATAGACCCCCTCTCCACTGATGTCTCCCTCAGATGACGTCACAGCAGTACACTATAATTCTTCAGAAAAAAATACCGAAGTTTTTAAATGATCAAAAAAGGGCTCTTGCGGTTATTATAATAATAAGTAAAAAGAGAATACATTTCAGAACGGTCAAATGTTAAAAATACACGCCTATTAGTGAAAATAAGGCCATGAGCCTTTTTAACACAAACAGTACAGAGTACAAGTTACAAGCACGGCAGTAACATCATTCAGATATATTAGGAGAGCAAGCTTGGCATCACTTTACTGCCAACTATAACGAACCTTTCTTGAAGCTTTTACCTAGTGCTTGATGTGTTTGCCAAAGGCTGCAAACGCCATAATTTTGTGGAGTGTGATTAATCTTTACAATACGTGAAGTAGGTTGGTAAAACTCCGCATCATACATTACCAGGGTTCCGATTTTCCTGACCGAAGCCCGCCTGCCTTAAGTCACCAAAATCTCAGCTGTTAAATAAAAAAGGGGAAAAAATCCAGTGGCATCATTGGGGGGGAGGGCAGTTGTCCTCTTGAGAATCTTGACATTTTTAAAGGGAATTTGAAGCACCAACCACTTAGTAACAGGACAACCACCTTTATGTAGAGAAATATGGAAGGGCTGCGTAGCACCGTGATTACATCTAACGGCAAGAATATAATATCAAATCAGTGCTCTGAAATATGTGATTGCCGAGCTTTCGGTTACTGAGTACCTTCTTCAGGGCAAGCACTGAATCTACGTACAGTAACCATCCCCCCCATCCGTACAAAATTTTCCAGTCTCCCAGAAAAAAATCCTCAGGATCCATTCCGATGTTTATAACATCAACAGGTAAACGTGTCTTGCCATCTTGGATTTTAATCTTGAAACAGACTTCCCGCTTCTCTTTGGAAAGTCAAGATTATGGCCAAAAGTTCACTTTTCTTTTCAATTTATCGGGGTTAGCCACATGCAATTTTTTTGTCGTTCGCCGAAAACGCCCTTCAAATAGGAGTAAACCTGTGCCCTCAACTCTCAATGTAGCCGCTCGCCTCTATGCAAAATAGGCCCACGAGTTGGAGATTTTTGTGAACGAAATACGCCGAGTCGGACGCCAGAAATCCCACATTTGTGATTTTTGAAAATATCTGTATGATCACTCCCGATGATGACTCTTATTGTTAAATCCCAATGGGATCACAAAATATTAATGAGCTCGCGCGTGGAAATCTAACCATTTAGTGGAATGCACCCTTAGGCCGTGTCCGAAACTGGCATCCAGAGCTACGGCTAGGTCTATTGTCTGCATGTCTCCACGTCCTTTCAATGGAGTGGAGACCTATACCAAGCTCTAGACAACAGGTTTGGATGCGGCCTTAAAGTAAGTTACACATCTACAGCGTAGATCGAGCAATTGCATGAATCCTCTTTCCCGTAGGTCGAGAGAGAAACTTCTCCCGGCCTCGGATGAACACGATCTGTAAAATCGGCCGCCTAATCATGACGCGAAAAGTGCTCTTGCAGATGTGATGTGTGCGATGCCATTTTCGCGCCCCAGTCCTGTTGCCCTTCAGTTTCTGCTGGTGTAGGTGAAGGCGGCAAATCTGAGCCCTGGTAAAACTGTCTGGGGGACAGAATTATCTAGGTAACAGTGTTAGTAACAGATTGAACTAGAGAAATGTGTCCCCGAACACTTTTGCTGGGATGCGATTCTGTAAAAGTGTGGGGGGGGGGGCACATTCACCGGGGGGCACTCCCACCCTTTATATAGGCGGTAAATCTTTTCCACCGGTAAAACTGTCCCAAAGACAGAATTAACTATGGTAAAATAGTCTCACCAGTCTGTCGACGTCCCTTAGCTTACTAGGTATTCCTGTCCTATCTAGTCCCCCTCAGGACTCAAACGGGGTGGAGCCGTTGGGGGGATGTTATGTTCTTCGGCCGAGTTCGGGCGGCTTGTTCCCGTATGTTCACGAACAGCTCGATTTGTTGTTCGTGGGTCGGCCGCTCGAACGCCGGGAACAAACAATCGGTTATCGATGGTAGTTAGTGACAAGCAACATGGCGGCGTCCATATAGGCTACGTTATTCGAGAGTTGATGTTTGGATGGGCTGAATTCTTTTCTATATAAACAGGAACATTCGTTTCTGTGTTACGGAAAATAATTAATGTTAACGTTAATTTTGCAAAACTTCACATTGTCTTTGGCTTTGAAGCCATCTCTCTACTTTTTGCAGCTGTTCAAAAATCAAAATCTCACGAGTTTTTCCGTGTGTTCCTGTAAAACCCTGACGAGGAGGTAGTGTGTGATCCTGTTCCGAGAACAGTGTTCTTGAGTCGTGTTCCCGCCGTTCGAGCGCGAGAACAAGAAACCCGTGTCAAGAACAGGCCGCCCGAACTCGACCTTGGTTACAAAACTACTGACCATTAATTTCCCAAAACTTCCAAGAGAGGGCGCAGTACATTTTTTGAAGGATTTTTTTTAGCCGGGGAAGGCGCCCTTTTACGCTTAATCGGGCTGTAGAGGGCGGTATAAGGAATTTCGACGTAGCTCTGAGACTCAGCAGAGGGAGCCCTGTATGCATTTTCAAAACATATCCAGTCTAGACCGGTAGAGGGCGCTGCATATTATATCAATAGAGGGCGCTATTTATTGAATCAAGAGAGGGCGCTACATATATATCAGACATCAGAGGGCGCTGTTCTTGGAACGTGTGGATGTCATGGTTGTGAGGGACGCGACGATCGGTGCGCACTAAATTTGGAGTTTAACTTCGAGAAAAAAGGTGCCAGAATGTGGTATTGACATAGATGGCTGGAGAATGTTACAGTGACTCCAGGCAGTATGGAGATATTTTGTAGCCTGAGGTAAAATAAGCAGTTAGCGAGGACAAAATCGTGTGACCAGCCGAGGCCCAGTTTATGATCATGTTTATCATTGACTCATGTTCATTGTCAAGGCGTTAAGCCCCGTCTGTAGCATCAATCCCAACTATTAGTATTACTTGGCCCGGTTACCCGTCCAACTACATGTATAGTCGTAGTTCAGTGTGTGCCTGCACTATTGCATGAACATCATCAACTTGTGCTTTTAGAAAAAAAGTTTTTATACAGATTAGGCCTAAGTACCATATTTAGATGAGTTATTTCAGGAGTGAACTGCATAAATTTGGAAAAGGTTGAGAAATTTTCCACAGTCCACACAGAGATTGGCCACCAACAGTTGGGCCAGCCCAACTGTAGTCTTGGCCCAAGATGTCAGTGATCGATAGTTGGTTTATTTCTGTTGAAGAGCGCACACCTAGATTTTACTTACTCTCTCTAACGTCTTGGGAATCTTGCAGGAATGGGGGTGTGGCAGTTGTATGCAAATGTCCGATGTTCTTAAATATTTATACCTTTGGTATTATATCTATGTACATGCATGTACTTCTAAGTTCGAACAACATGGCGGTTTCACGTGAGCAAGTACGATGTCGATAGTGTCTGGTTTGTGGGAAGGGATTAGTGACATGTAAGACGTATTTTTCACTCCATACTAGACATAAAATTGCCACTCTTCTAAAGATATCGTTGGGGACTACAGTTGTACCGCATCACATCACGTTTGCGATGTTTGTGGCAGAAAAATTGGGAAAACAAAATCGTTGTCTGATATCACACAATAAATACGTTCTCGCTTTTTTGCAACTCACAATGAGCATGCTGCCTGGGACCAAATTACTCACACCAGCGGCAATAAATCTACACGTGCAGCAAGAAAACGATAACCAACTTGCAGTCCGGGTACTCTGTCCTCGAAGGTTAAGGTCTATACGGTCTCTAAGGACGCTTTAGTTAGCTGGGGAGGGCACACTGACTGTACATGATTATGGGTCACTAAGAACAGCATTCCCTGTCATATCCTAGGCCTAACCTAGTCTGAGTATCACCCGTTCTACTCCGTGCTAACTACGTACGAGGTATCTATGTTGTCGTGTCTGTGTTGACGGGACTGCAGACAGCCATGATGCATGTGACCATACCATGGTGTATTATTGAGGTCATCAAAATTTATTATGCATGCAATTTAGCGAGTGCTGATTGGTTCCCTTGGAAGCCGAGGGAAAAATAAAAAACAAGTTAAAACGCTGCTGCAAGATTCCCAAGACTTTAGTGCGAGCTGGCGCACAGTCTAATGGTGAGTCGTTACGGGGTGCACTATGCAAGGTGTCCGCTATCAAGCACTAACGTCTTGAAACCAAGACTAGCCCAACTGCAGCACTACAGTTGGGACTGCCCCAGTCCCAGACTGGGGGCCAGTCTACTGGACTCCCTCCATATCCCAGGCCGCGCCCCACAGCGGTCCATTCAAAAAGTGGGGACTCAGAGAAAATGCCATCTATGAAATCCCATTTGTTTGTATGGATCACTCACCCCATCAAATCATCGATGTATTACTTTTGGCAATTTCCAATTTGTAGAAGTCAGTGAAATTTTGGTTTCGATTTGGCCCTTCATTTACTAAAACGACTAACTCCCGATCGCCGACCGATGCCAAACACAGTCTGGATCTGTTTGGTCTGGGAACAAACAGCATTAGAGACGCTGACTTAACTTATCAATGACAATTCAGCATGGTAAATTAAGTGGTTCAGTCTTGTATTTACGCTCCTCGTTTACTGTTTTTGTGAACTGTTATTTGAAACCTTGATGCTGGTCTTTGAATACAGACGAGGGTTTTTATAATTTGTACTTCTGAAAGGAGATTTCGTGTGTATCATTTTCCAGTTATTCAACTTCGGAGTTCAGACTATAAAACAGTGGCGCGTCCAGTTGCGGTAAACAAAACAGTCAGCGTAGGAGCTGGTCGAAGTACGAGTGTGTTGGCATACGAGTTGGCCAGTATATGAGTTGGTACACATACGTATTGACCTGTTGCCTATTTTGACAGGAGTGGGTGACAGAAGAGGCCACAAGTACCTTTCATATTGCTTCCGTTACACAATTTTGCTCAAAATATTTTGGAAGTTGTCGTACTCTGATTCCAAATCTTCAGCATTCACTTAATACAAAATTGTCCTCAAACTGTTCAATGCTCCCACCTTTAGGATTCAGTGGGACGTACATGCAGACGACTGTTTCCTGAGGGGTACAATCTCCAGCGTATAACTTGATGTTGTCACAGCTAGCATACATTACACTGCTCAGGAAACAGTTGTTGGTATACGAGTGCACACTTCTCAGGCTCAATTCTGAGTGGTCTGCTCAGCCAGCACATCAAGACATTTCGACAATCTCCCTGTCTTTTTGCGTACAGTTTGAATTGCCCAACAAAAGGATGAAGATGGCAACTTCAGTTTCAAGCTCTGCAACAGGAGAGTGTCCGACTTGAAGGAGAAAGTCCTTTCATTTTCCCGAATGTAAGCAATCTTTTACACCATCATAAAGCTTAAAAGTCAACACAGCATATGTTGACAATGTTACTAGTCCCTTAGAAATTTTTTTCGTATCTTGAGCTCTGTAGTTGTCTTGAAATTTGGAGCAATGCTGACCAAAAACTTTGTGATAGCAGCCATGTTGTGCTATGGGTCATGCACAGCGCTTGCACAAAGGTCTTACCTACAACTGTTGCGTGACATTGTTGCATTTATTGACGGAATCTCAACAAAACATAAAGCGTGCACATAGAAAGGACATACAACAGCCATGGCTGACTTCTGGACCCATCATCAAATTCTCCGTCATGCCTAAGGTACCGTCACTTACGTTACAAACAGATGGTCAGTGGGAGACACCTGCCAGAACAGAAAAAACTGGCTCTGCTTAGGCTGCCGGGTTCGACCAATACTCTGGTCAGCTTGCCGAATTCTAGTTAAAGCAGCAAGGTTGTGGTCAAAACCATTCTCTAAGTGGTCCGGCGGTCTAGTGTAAAACCACCAAGATAGGCAAGCACGGTTCCTCGGAGTGAGATGGTCAACTGAAGACAGTCATTCTTTCTAATCCTGGAATCCATTTGATGTTTTGTGTGTGCATCTTTGCAGGTAAAACTGACATCCTCTATTGCCATGGAGACAGCCGCGCTTGCAAAGGTTACCAACCAAATTCCAAGTCGGGAAAGGAAAGTGTTCAAGGGGTGAGATTTCTTAGCTTTTTAGCTGATTTCAGCTTTTTTTGTTTTGGATTTCAGCTTTTTTTCCTCCCTGGCTGTGTACAAAAGTATAAGAGATTTCCACAGTTCAACTTTTTTATGCCTTTTTTTCAGCTGTTTTCAGCTATTTTTATCATTGGTCACTCTCACCGCTGAGTGTTCCATACATTAACCCTAACCTTCCCCAACCACACAGAATTAAACAGTAGTAAAGTGTTTAATTCTGTGGGGATAGGTCTGGTAGGCCCGTAACAGCTGGCTTATGCATTGGGTTTGGCATACCTCAGAAAAACAAAAGTCCAACAGCCTCTGTGCACAAAGTCCCCTATGGGTGTTTAACTTTGTGTGAATGGGGGAGGTTAGGGCCAGCAACCCTTGGGCAGTTAGGGTTAAGGTAATGTCAGTTTTCAGCAGCAGATTTTTTTCTCAAAATAGCACCCATAATTTTCAAGCATGTTTTTTCTTGTTGAGCGGGTAGAAAGATTCTTTCAATGTCCATCTCATAAATCCATTTCAGTTACGACACCAAAAATGTGACCTGTCACCACAAAATGAGCTGAAAGTTGGAATTTTCAAAAATTGAGATATTGGTATTTTTGAGTTCAGCAGAAAAAGAGCTGTCCAACGACATGTACATAGAACACTTAGGGTAGAAGTATAAGGTGACAATGTGACATTATTGTGGCAGCTTTGCGTCTTTGTTCCCGACACTGTTTCAACATTTCAGACCAGGCATGCATAATGCTATCGTCAAAACTGCCGTGAAAATGACATTTTTAACTCTATGATCCTGCAAAATGTTTGGAATTAAATAAGAGATGGGTTAATCTTTCCAAAATTACAAAATACCCCAAATTAATCTCCACTTCAATAAGATTTTGAATCTTCAAAATAGGAAAGAGTGGAATGCGACTTTACGCTCAGCTCATTTTGTCGGGACGGGTCACCAATGACTTCAGAAAGGTTTCACACTTTGATGAGTTTCCTTTATTCACCTCTATGATTTTAGTGGGCCCCCTTGTTAATGAACCCCTCAGTTTTGTTCTGCAGCAGACTTTAGGGCATGCATATATCAAAATGACCACAAAAAAATGCTTTTTAAATTTTAAGAAACCCCCTTGTAAAGTTACAGCAGCCAAAAAAACTTTTGTGGCCATCAACATTTTTGGTAAATATTAGTGTTTNTGATGAAGTTTCAGCTTCATGGTGAATGCTCCATATTCTGAGAAATCTATGCTAAGACTTAGATTTCAGATCAAAAGTTGCTGAGTCCTGTTTTAAATTGGTGTCTGAATTCAGCATCCGGGACACATTCTCAAGTTCAGTCGAATGCAAAACTCACGTTGTCACCCACTGAACCGGGGAATTATGGAAACCGCAAGTGTCTGTGTATTATGTCAACGCTTGCGTCCATTTCTAATGGCAATTTTCCCAAAATTTGAGAAGGGGCCGGCTTGAAATCATTGTTTCTTCATGATGACCATTTGGATAACTGCAAATGATGGACTGCACAATACTTTTAACCCATTTATCCTTGTACAGAGTTCCCACAGTCATGGGAAATCCTGGGAAAAAATTGTCCCCGGAAAGTCATGAAAAACTCCTGGAAAATTGGTCTAAGGAAAAGTCATGGAAATCAAAATCATACAAGGGTTATTTTTGATGAGCCACTTTTGATGTGGTAATGAAATTTCGTACAATAAATTTACAGGCCATCCTTGCCAGTAGTGGCTATGGCAGTCTTCCCAGTCATAATACCAAAGAAATTTTCTGTGCAGAGTGGCATTAAATATCACGGAGGTTGTCATATTTTAGTTCTGGAAAGTGCAGGAAAGGTCACTGAATTTGTTTTTCAGATTTCCTAGAAACCTTGCTGGTAACAATCAGGGCCCAATTTCAAGGCACTGCTTGGCACACGATTTCACGCTTACAGAGACTCTGCATATTTCAAGAAGACCATATAAAGCAGTAAGCAATAGAAATCTCTCTGCGCGTGCGGCTTTTGGCAAAACCATGCCAAATACCGCGATGAAATAGTGCTTAACCCTAACCCTCCTCAATCCTTCACCTGTTGGAGGACTGAAGAGTGTTAGGGTTAATCTTCGCAAATGTTTCTGCGAAAGTTAGCATGATTTTTCTTCTGTTAAGAAGCACCATGAAAGTGAGCCCTAACCCCACCCAGCCTGTTACTTCCTGCACTCCCCAGCACTGTATGGTTTTATGGATTAAGAGTTTGTGCTTTGATGGGTTAAAACTTGGATGTTTGGCTCATTGGGGGGGGGGAATCTTTATTACAGTATGACTGGAAAATTGGAGGTGACCTTTTCTTTTCACTTTGTGTCATTCCTCCGGGGTTTAGATTTGGGAAGGGCTCAGGTGAATGTACTGCTATGGCTGCGTACGTAGAGGCCGACTAACGATGTAGTGTGAATTGACTGACCAGTGATGAAATCTCCAAAGTAAAGATTCGGGTTACATCATCAGCTCGCACAGGTAGGAGTCCTGTGTTTCAGATGCTGCCTTTTAGCAAGGCTGGATGGGGGAGGGGATGGCAATCGGGTCATGGCCTTGTGTTCGTTGTGGATAGTCCCTGGTGCATGCCAAACATTGGCTACATGCAGAGTTCGTTTGTTTGACTTTTTACAGTCATTCCCCAAGTTGAGCAATGAAAGAAATTCTGAGACTCTAAATGCTCTTATTTATCGAAGTAAAACCTGGACTGTGTCACAGGTTAATTACCCACTCAGTATCTCCTATATTCTTGGCAGCTTTGAGTTGCACTTAACATTGCTGTGTTTCCTTGACACTTCTAGAGGCTGGTCTTCCCTTAGATTTAAGAATTTGTGTTCAATTTTCCCCCTTGATGTGGGGGTCAATTCCAACAATCCCCCACCCTGGTGTGGGGTTGTCTTGAATTTTGTCCTTCCTTTGGTGGTGGAATTTCTTCAACTTTGCCCCTTACCCTCCTCTGGTGTGGGATATTTCTTCAACTTTGTCCCTCCCATTGTGGGTATTTTTTCAAGTTTGCCTGGTCTAGGAAGATGTCCTTTAAGTCTTCTCTCCCCTGGTAACTGTGAATGTTGAATACCCATTTCTCACCACATTTAATATTGTAAAAGGTACAAGATTTCAAATGTAAGTGGGCTCAGCCTTGTCCATGCTCCTTGACTAGGCTTTTACAACCTTGTGAGGACCCAAGAATTTTTCTGCCTTTTGAATAAACCCAAAACATGTCACTGGTTTTTCATCCACTAAATTTGTTCAAGGTGAAGTTCCTCAACCGCACACTACACTTTTTTCTAATTTTGGAATGGTTTCATTTTTTTTTCATGTTTGTTATAAGCAGCAATGAAGAGGTGACACTTTCTTCGCATCACTGAAACT